GAAGGAAAATTGAAAAAGGTATGAACTCGTTATTGATTTTCTGTATAAGTTGTTGTAGTCTGAAGAACTGATTCCTTTCTCACTTGGTAAACGGCAATGTCCGGGGGAAGGACTTGCACGAATGGAACTCTATATCTTCCTAATCAATATGGTTCATAAATATAAAGTAATGAGTGATTCATTGAACTTCGTCATGTTTTATTTACAGATAAGTGGAGAAGATCTACCACAAATCGCAACTACAATGGCAACAGTGACAAATGTTCCTCTTGAGAGTTTGAGATTCACGGAGGTACACGCGTGAACGAACGATTAGAGTTTCTACTTAAGTTCCTACTTAATTGAAAAAATGATTGTCAAAAAATGGTTGTATGATAAATTAAACATTGAAAAAAACCCGTTCGATTAATTACAAACCCAAACATGTTTTCCCTTTCAGATTTTTACACAGCGAAATAAAACCAAACATCAAAATCTGACGAGCAGAGTTTATTTCGAAGAACCGCTCACGTGCTGCGTACGATTAGAGCATATGTTAAGCTCATTGTGATAGAGCTGCCACGTATGTAACATCAGACATTTTTTCTTCTTATGTGTATAGTTTTGAGTTGATAGGGGATGCGTGTTTGCTAACTGTTGAAAAGTCAAAAAGATTGGATTAATAATGGTTCACTACATGGAAATTTCCCATGTCAACATATTTTTCGCATCACTTGCGTTTTCCTAGACCATTTATCTGAAGGGCGCATAGAGAAAACAGACTGTTTCTTTTCGCCTTAATCGCTATCGCTGTTAAGCTCCTCCTCCCTCAGCAGAGGAAGTAACATAGACTAGGCAAAGAATTTTCTTCTATTGTTAAGAATGGTACTGGTTTTCCTTGCCACTCTTCTATGTGTTTGGTTAGTTTACGAGTTTTATTGGAAAAGAAGAAATTTCCCTCCAGGTATGGCATTTCATTTTGATACAAACTGTTTCGTTCTTTCTAGGCCCAACGCCATTGCCATTTTTGGGTAATCTACTTCTTCTCCACAAGTATCAGCCTGGTCATGAGGCGTTCGAAGTATTGAAGAAGAAGTATGGCCCTGTATTTACATTTTGGTTTGGTATGATTCAGTGTGAAGTTTTGTTATCAAATCATTACTTAGGAAACACACCAATGATAATGGTCACAGATTATACTATCATGAAAGATTTGTTTGTTAAGCAAGCTGAACATTTCTCAGAAAGAGTTGTGTTCGGCAAACTCACAGAAATCGTTCGAGGTATAGAACTATAATTTGGGTGAATCAATCTGAGCGTATTCAGGTGGCTCTTATGGCATAATTGATACTAACGGAGACAAATGGCGAACTCATCGTCGCTTTGCTCTACAAATTCTCAGAGATTTGGGTGTTGGTGGTAATATTGCTGAGCAACATATTTTGTTTGAGACCGAAGTTCTTCTGAAGAGCATTGAAGCCTCGGATGGCGAACTCACAAATATCAAAGTTTACTTATTCTCTCCTTCCTTCACTTATATTTGAAAAACCAGAAACATTTACGAGTAGCTGTTGCCTCCACAATCAATCTATTTCTTTTCGGATATCGTTTCTCTGATGTTGGGCTAGTTTAGTTTATCGATTTAAATTTTGATTTTACAGGATAAAGCAGATGAACTTCAAAAAATCTTAGACACACTTGATGATTTCAAGAATGTCAATGCCACCTTCCGAGCTTTGCTATGTACAGTTTTTCCCATTCTTCTTGATTTCCCAGGATTTAGAGCTATGAAGAAAACGTATATAAATTGGATGATTCATTGAAACAAAATGTATTATAGGTTGATGGGAACCTTTAAAATCTTCTCTGATTATTCCCTTCAGCATTTGGATGAGTTTAAACAAGAAATCGATTATGAATCCGACGAAGTTAAGAATTATGTAGAAGCATACTTAAAGGAACAGATGAAACGGGAACTAGAGGGAGATTTTGAATCGTTCAGGTATCTAAGATTAAATGTACTGTGTTCGATTTGACAGTTGTTTCCAGTAACCATCAGTTAGTCAACGTTTGTTTCGATTTATGGTTCGCAGGATTTGATACAACTCTCACCACCATTCAATGGGCTCTTATCTATTTATCAAACAATCCAGATGTTCAAGTTTGGCAGCCTGGGTAGTCTTCATAATGTGCTGAATGATTACAGGAGAAAATGAGGGAGGAGCTAGCTAATGTTATTGGGAAGGATCAGATGGTTACAATGGCAGAGAAAACCAAGTTGCCATACTGCCAAGCTGTTCTTAACGTAGTTCCTACGCTAAAACG